CTGTCAGCTCTACTCCACAAATACTCGAGTTTGAGCTAATAGCTTAGATCTGAGGTCTGCAAAATTTACTACCAACTCCAATATGGACTAAAATGTTATCTGATAGCTAAGAAATCGTCAGTTATTCAGTCTATAGTCAAAGTGCTCTATGAGCAAACCTGTGAATTTTGCTGTGAAAGATGATTGACATGAGCTGATTTCACGTAATATGAAATTACTCTTTTAGGAAAAATTACAATAAGCAATAACCAAAGCTTCTTCAACTGGAAATAGTGGTTCTGACGGTAAACTCTCACGAAGATCTTTTCTCTTAACTTTACGCCACAGCAGAAAGGTTATTATTTGAAACAAAAAATGTTTACCAACATATGCAATGTTGAAAGATATAAGCCAACCTTTTCGTGACCCTTTTTTCAGCCCCATTCGCTGGTAATCGGCGCCAACAGCAAAAATATCCGCATTAGGTACATGTGTGCTTACGGGTTTTTCTACGTTATACGAGTTATATTATTGGTTTCTGGCTTTCCTTTTTACAACAAGTCTTTTTTGGTTGTTGTTTTAAAAAAATTAGGGAAACTTTTTAAGCTTCTAGTTGCCTAGTTTAATCCGAGAAAGGTTGCCCGATATGTTTTTCCTGTCGCCCAAAGACGAAAGCTAGTCTGATAGTCTGCTTTGCGCGACTCAGCGCCGTCAGGAGCATCTGGCGAGTCCTGGCAGCCTTGCAAAAGTTTTTGGACGACAAATTGCGAAAGATCTTCAGAGAAATCAATAACGTTTTTATGAATTTAATAAGCCATCCGAAGTGATTTGAGGTCGATTATGCGAAACAGCCAGGTCGCATAGTCGTTTATTTTATGCTGCGAGTTATTTTTATTTTTAATCTTTTTCTAACCCTACACCGTTGCATTTTAGCGCGTGTACCCCACGCGCGCCGGGTTAACATCTCGCTAAGCTGGCGATCTCGACGAACTTAAGACAAAATAGGCGATGTGTGGACAGACTACTGTCGCGGAAAATCAAAAATCATGTTATTATCTGTTCCAAATCTGACATAGGTACATGTATTTCAGCGACAAAACAGGTAAAACGAGGAAACAAAAAGACCACGGCTTCAAATAAAAACCCAGTGGATCCCAGAATCGAACTCGGGTCCACTAGATCCTAACCGTTGTGCACGTTAGAAAACTTTCCCTGAGAAAGCAAAATCATACAAAGCTTACTAGCCTTATCTTAAATCAGTTAACAAATATGTGACATTTGTTCAAACTCCGCGGATGCCAACAAAGCGTACCACACAAATCCCAAAGACCATCAAATTTCGCTTTACCAGCCTCAAAAACGTTCCTACACTACCTATTACATCGTTTATTTCAGTTTTTCCAATGATACGATCAAGTTCAAATGAGTTTTATTCATTATGTGCCAGTGTTTTTATACAAGCAATTTTTAAAAATCTGCTTAGCATTGGTAGTAGCTCCTGGCTAATGGCCATTGATGTCAAATTGTAAATGAAGATGTATTTTGAAATGACACAATGTTTGTTTACATCTTTTATTTAATATACTTATTCAATAACCTCAAAGATTTGCTGTTGCTTTATTTCAAACTATGTCACTACTGCATTATCTAGACAGTTCATCTTTAAAACTGTTCATATCCTGGCTGATCAAGTTACTGTGGGTAAGAGTAAATTCTTTGGCTGATGATATCCTCCCAACACACCTTGGCATGTTACTTTCAATTTTAGCTTGTATCTTGAATAAAGAACGACAAATTAATTTGATCATAAACCAGTTTTGCTATCGGCGAATAGCAATCGATGAAGAGCAGTTAACTAACATAGTCTGTGTATATGTTGCAGGTCAAAATGAAATTCAGGTTCAAATGATTTTAACCTAGTTTCATTCTCAATTTCTTTTGTCTTCTAACCTTAGTTATTCGTGATCCATGAATGATTAGGGGTAAGGGACAAAGGAAATTCATTTTAACCTGAATTTCATTTTGACCTACAACATATACGTCACAGCAACACATTTGCTCTCATAAATAAGGGTGGGAATCAGTGAGGGCTTTTCATGGTAGTTGATAAATCAAGCTGTTTTTGTGAATTGTATGCAAAACTACACTCGCTAGAGTCGGGGATAAATGTGGCTGACACAACAAGGCAAATAAATGCAACTTTTAGCATCCATCAGACATTTGAAATTATTTAAAATAAGTCTGCACTTGGCGAAATTGGCCCACATC